TTAGGTGGTACAGTGGACAGAGCACTAAACCTGGAGTCAAGAAGATCTGAGTTCAAATCTAGCCCCAGATACTTACTAACTATTTCACCCTGGGCAAGTCACTTAATCTCTGTCTGTTCATTTTCCTCAATTGTAAAATGGGGATAATAATAACTCCTGCTTTGTAGAATTGTTGTGAGAGTTGAATGAGATAATATTTGAAAAGTTCTTAGATAGTGCCTGGCACATAGTAGGCACTTAATAAATGCTTATTTCCTTCCTTCCTATCTGAAAGCCATGACCAGGTTAAAAAAAGCCTAGATGTGGTATTTCAAGTAATTATAAAAGAAAACCTTCCAGATCTCTTACAACAAAAGAGGGAAAGTGAAACTAGAATCTACTGGTTGAAAGAAATTCTAGAATGGAAACTATCAGAAATGTCACAGCCCAGATCCAGACCTTCCAGGTCAAAGAGAAAGTATTTTCTATATTGCAGCCAGAAAGGAAGAATTGGAGTACTGAGGAGCCTGTTTGGATCATACAAGAATTAGCATCTCCTACTATAAAGGAGCAGAGAGCTCGGAATATAATATTCTAAAATCCCACGAATTAAGTGCTTACAACCTCAGAAGAACATACTCAGCAAAACTTGGTATAATCCTACAGGAGGTAAAAATAAATCTCTAATGAACCAGAGGACTTCCAAGCATTTCTTTTCTTTTTCTTTTTTCTTTTGGTGAGGCAATCAGGGTTAAGTGACTTGCCCAGGGTCACACAGCTGGTAAGTATCACGTGTCTGAGGCTGGATTTCAGCTCAGGTCCTCCTGACTCCAAGGCCAGAGCTCTGTCCACTGCACCACCTAGCTGCCCCTTCCAAGCACTCTTGATGAAAAGACCAGTGCTTAGTAGAAACATTGAAAGACAAACACTAAAGTCAAGAGAAATATAAAATACAAATCTCCTTTGATGGATCTTTGTCCGGGTCATGTCCACTAATGGCAAGTGTCCACTAGTTTTCTCTTCTGGGCCATTTTCTCTTTTCTCTATTTCACTTAGTGATCTCATCAACTCTCACAGATACAATGATCATTTCTATACTGATGAGTCCACTCATCTAGCCCCAAGCTCTCTCCTAAACTCCAGACTTATATCTCCAACAGTCTATGGGACATCTCACACTAGATGTCCCATAGACATCTTAAACTCAACATGACCAAAACTGAACTCATTATTGCCCCTGCCTTTTAACTTCCCCATTACTGTTAAGGACACTAATATCTTCCCAACCATCCAGGCTCACAACCTAGGTTTCTTCCCTGAATCTTCATTCTTTCTCATCTCCCTCCCCCCAGTAGCCAACCAACTGTCAAGTCTATCTTTGTAACATCTCTCACGTACATGCCCTCTTGCTCCTCTGCTGCTACCATCATCACCTCATGTCTGGACAATTGCAAAAGCCTGCTGGTTGGTTCTTTTTGCCTCATCTCTTATTACAATCCATTCTCTACTAAGCTGTCAAATTAATCTTCCTCAAGTACAAGTCTGACTGTACCATCTCACTATCCAGTGAACCTTAGTGGCTTCCTATCTCCTCCAAGATCAAATATAAAACCCTCTGTTTCATGTTCAAAGCCCTTATAGGGGCAGCTAGGTGGCACAGTGGATACAGTACCAGCCCTGGAGTCAGGAGGACCTGAGTTCAAATCCGGTCTCAGACCAGACACTTGATACTTACTAGCTGTGTGACCCTGGGCAAGTCACTTAACCCCAATTGCCTCTCACAAAAAAGTCACAAAAACAAAACAGGAAAATGATAAATGTTGGAGAGGATGTGGGAAAATTGGAACACTAATACATTGTTGGTGGAGTTGTGAAATGATCCAACCATTTTGGAGAACAATTTGGAACTATGCCCAAAGGGCTACAAAAATGTGCATACCCTTTGATCCAGCAATAGCACTTCTAGGGCTATATTCCAAAGAGATCAAACAAATGGGAAAAGGACCCATATGTACAAAAATATACATAGCAGCTCTTTTTGTGGTGGCAAAGAATTGGAAATTGAAGGAATGCCCATCAATTGGGGAATGGCTGAGCAAGTTGTGGTATATGAATGTAATGGAATACTATTGTGCTATAAGAAATGATGAGCAGGCTGACTTCAGAAAAACCTGGAAAGACTTGTATGGACTGATGCTGAGTGAAGTGAGCAGAACCAAGAGGACTTTGTACACAATAACAGCCATGTTATGCAATGACTAAGATTGTTAAACTGAACCTTTCTCAGCATTATGAGGATCTAAGACATTTCCAGAGGCCTCGGGATGGATAATGTGTTCACATTCAAAGAAAGAACTATGGAAGTCAAATCGCTATCACTTATTTTTACCTTCAGTTGAGTTTTGTTTCATCTTTCTGATGGTTCCTCGTATTGGTTTTAATTTTTACTTACAACTTCACTAATGTGAAAATATGTTTAATGGGTATGTAAATGTAAAGCCTATATCAGATTGTGCACTGTCTTGGGGAGGGTGGGGGGGAGGAAAAGGGAGAAAAAATTTCAACTCAAAAGCATATGGAAAAAAGAAAAAAAGAAAAAAAAAGAAAAAAGTCACAAAAAAAAGGTCACATTCAAAGCCCTTCTAAACCTGCCATCTTCCTACCTTTCCAGTCTTCTCATACATTACTGACCCCAACCTCTATGATTCAGCAACATTGACCTCCTTGCTAGTCCTCTTACTAGACCCTCCATCTCCTGACTATGGGCATTTTCACTCACTGTCCCCCAGGCCTGAAATGCCCTCCTTCCTCTTCTCCACCCCTTTCTTTCCTGGTTTCCTTCAAGTCCCAGCTAAAATTCCACCAATTAAAAGAAGGCTTTCTCATTTTCCCTTAATGTTAGTGTCTTGATCTGGAAATTATTTCTAATTTATCTTGTGTAGGGTGACCCAAAAATTTCTAGTATAGTTTTAGGCTTTAAAAGCTCAAAGTTGCACTAAGGCATTTGGAACATCTTATTTACGCCTATTTTGTTTTGTCTCCCTCATTATACTATGAGGGGTTTTTTTGTTTGTCTTGTTTTGTTTTGTTTTGTTTTAGAGCAAGGGCTGTCTTTTGCTTTTCTTTGTATCTCCAGTGCTTAACAGAGTGTCTGGCTCATAGTAGGCACTTAATAAATGCTTTTTCACTGACTGACTGAGATGATACAAGTTCTCCTCTGAACCCTAATGTTACCAGGGGTCATAAAGGGAGTTCATTAAGATCTGGGAATGTTTTTTTCCTATGTTTTAATTACATTAAAAGAAGAAAGAAAAGGGAGGGAGAAAGAAATACATTAGTGAAGAAAGGGGAAGGAAGTGTTGGGGGAATTAATTCTCTCACATAATTGGGGTGTATAAATAGAAGATGATACAAATGAGGAAGAAGGGATGGGGGTAGCAGATAAAACTTAAATGTCACTGTCATCTGAACTGGGTAAAGGTGGGTAGAATCTTCATATAGAGGTGGGTGTACAAATATACTTAATAGGGAAACAGGAGGGAATGGGGAGAGGGGAGAGAAGAGAAGGAAGAATGGGGAATAAGGGAGAAGACAGATTCGGGGAGGGATTAGTCATAAGCAAAACAAACTCTAACCTTGGAGGGTGGATTGTAAAGAGGGATTTAAAAGGAAGGGAAAAAAGGGAAACCTCTAATTAAAGTCTGGGCAAGGGAAAGAGAAAAGGGGTTGGGGATTAGAAACAAATTGCATGGAGCATACAACACTGGTGCTTGAGCACATTCCTCTCTTTCTATGGTCTTCTTTGTTAAGAGGAGGGAGGGAACAAAGAAAGGAAAAAGTACAATAAAATGAATTGGAGGGAAATACACAATTAACTGTCATGACTGTGAATGATAGTGAGATGAATTTATAAAATGGAAGAGAATAGCTGGTTAGATTACAAAACAGAATCCAACAATATGTTGTTTACAAAAAACACACTTGAAATAAAGAATTTATGCAGTTTAAATTAGAGGATGGAGCAAAATCTATTGTGGTTCCTCTGAACTAAAAAAACAAGGATAGCAAATGTGATCTCAGACAAGGCAATGACAAAAATAGTCTTAAATAAAAGAAATAAACAAGAAAATTACATTGTGTTGAAAGGTAGTATAGACATTGAATAAAATATCAATACTTAACATATATGCACCCAAAGGCATAGAATTTAAATGCTTGAAGGAAAAACTAAATGAATTTCGTGGAGAAATGTACAATAAAACTATAATAGTAGGGAACTCCAATGTACCCCTGTCAGAGCTAGACAAATCTAACAAAAAAGGAAAAAGAAAATTCAGTACCAGAATATTACTTTTTTGAAAGTTAGATATTGATTGAAAATTGAAAGGACTATATATATTATTTCTCAGCAGCTTATGATCTCTTTACAAACATTGACCATGATATAGGACATAAAAACCTCAAAAAGAAGATAGAGAAAAGCAGAAATATTAAACTTATCTTTTACTGACCACAATGCAATAAAATTATATTGAGCAAAAGTCCAATGAAGAAAGAAGTAAAAAAGTAGAGACTAAATGACTTAATCCTAAATAGAAGGTAGATAAAAAGAATAAATCATAACAACAATAGATAATTTCATTAACAATGATAGCAATGAGACAATGCAGCAAAAAAAATATTTTTAGGTGAAGCTTCCTTAGGGGAAAATTTATATCTCTAAATATTTTCATCAACAAAAGATAGGAAAAACAGATCAACAAATTGGGCAACCAACTTAAAAACTAGAAAACCAACATTTTTTTAAAAAGCCATTTAAACACCAAAATAGAAATTCTGAAAATCAAAGAGGAAATTAGAAAAAAATTGCAAACAAAAAACTTCCTTTGATTTAATAAATAAAATAAGGGCCCAATGAACAATGGGACCCAGACAACCACAGACTCTCTTCAGCACACACACACCCCATATATGTACTTTGTTTATACCAAGCATTGGCCAACATCTTGGTAGTCACTCACCTTGAGACAACAAGGGGCAGGATCAGCATCTTCAGCATCCTCATCAGCAGCTCTCCAGGGAATTGGAAGTAACTAATTTCCTAGAAGCGAAGGAAGAAGTATGGGTTTCTAGCAGGCCCTCACTCGCTTGTGTTGACCTAATACTGTTACCACAGTCTTTTCATGGGGAAGAGGCCATTCTCTACAGGTTTCACAGGTAGTAAAAAAAAAAAAAAAAGCCTGAGCTTAGGGGTCAGGGTTCCTGGGTTCTCATCTCTGTTCTGCCCCTGATTTGCTGTGTGACCTTAAGCAAACCACTCCTTTCTGAGCTTTGCTTTCCTCACCCATTAAAAAATGGGAAACTGGAAAAGATAGCCCTTTGAAGTTGTTTCTTGCTGCCTGATTCAGCTCTGTTCCCAGGTCTGGACCATGATGACTTTAGAGATCATCTGATCTAAGTCCATTGTATATGTAAGTCAACAGAGACAGGGACTTCCCCAAGACAACCCAGCTGGGTGACTCTGAAGCTAAGACTCAGTACTGTCCAACCCATTTCACAGTTGGGAAAACTGAGACCCAAGAGAGAAAACTGACTTCACAAAATGACAGTAGCAGAGCTGAGACCAGAACCCAGGTCTTCTAATTCCTAGCCTCACACTTTTTCTACCATACCATGAGAAAATAGTAAGTTAAGGTAAAAACAAATTGTATCCAAACATTGCTTAAAAGGCACCTTATAACTTTTTTTTTCCATTTAGGCTTTTTAGTAGTCCTGTGAGGAATAAGTACAAGTAAGATTAGTCTCATCTTGAGGCTCCAAAAGGGAAAGTCATGACTTTGTAGAATGTCAGTGCTGGAAGGAGACTTAGAATATAATGGTAATGATGGTGTCAATAAAGGGAGGATAGCCTCTAGGCAGTTGTTGGAGAGCTGACCTCAGAGTTCAGGAAGAGCTGGGTTCAGGTTCTGCCTTTGACACATACTGGCTATTCCCAGAAAATTCTGTGAGATGATAAATTGAAGGGCAGGTGCCAATCTGCATTGGTGGTGGGACCTTCCTCACCAGGAATTCTTTATGTCAATGAAATCACAGTCTAGCCCCTCCCCAAATTATAATGATAATAATAGTAATAATAACTACAATATTCACTGACATCCATACAGAGTTTCGAGGTGTGCCAAGTGATTCAATCAATCAATAGATAAACATTTGTTTCTTCAATATGATATCTCATTTTATCTTATCACAACCCATTGAGGGAGATTCTATTCTTATCTCTCTTTTTTTTTTAAAGCAATTAGGGTTAAGTGACTTGCCCAGGGTCACACCAGCTAGTAAGTGTCAAGTGTTTGGTCTGAGGTTGGATTTGAATTCAGGTCTTTCTTCCTTCAGGGCTGGTGCTGTATCCACTGCACCACCTAGCTGCCCCTCTTATCTTCTTTTTACAGAAGAGGAAACTGAGGCTCAGAGAAGAAGTCATTGCGGGAAGTCACACAGCTAGGGGTCTGAAGCAGAAGCGGAGATTTGAATTCAAGTCTGAGGGGCAGGGGTCATCTAGTCTAACTGTTCTGTTGTAGATGAGCACACAAACTTGGGCCCAGAATGTGCCCCCAGGCCCAGGGCCTGCTAAGGGTCAGAGCCGGGAGGGATGAGCTCCTGGGACCACCCTGGGCTGTTTATCACACACAAGAGCATTGTTTAGGGAAGGGGTGATCCAGGGCTCCAGTCCCTGGCTGAGACATCAGACGGCCACTGGGGGATTCTATTTCAAAGGGAGACACTGAGCTCCATGGCTCCAGCCAAGCGCTTGTCCCCATCCTTCCTGCTATCTCTCTGGCTCGGGAACTGCAGGCTCATCCAAACAGATGGAGAGGGATGCTTGGACAAGAAGGGCCCCCCAGACAGGGCCGGAGACACACAGGAATTCCAAATCTGTTCTCAAGTTAAGCCCTAGCAGCAAACAAATATTTGGTCCTGTGTTAACTCAGGGACAGCCAGCTACCTCCCTGCTGCCCAGGGTCTGGGGAGAGGGCTCTACATGGGAGACTGGAAGGGACCTCAAAAACCACAGAGTTCATTCTACAGAGGAAGCAACTGATGCCTCTATGGGGCAGTGACCTGTCCAAGGCTCCACCGTTACTCAGATAGCTGCCAGGTAGCCCAGTGGATAGTGCGCCAGACATGGAATCAGGAAGACCTGAATTCAAATCCTGCCTTAGACACTTCCTAGCTGTGTGGCCCTGGGCAAGTCACTCACCTCTGTTTGCTTCAGTTTCCTCATCTGTCAAATGAATTGGAGAAGGAGACGGCAAACCACTCCAGTGTCTTTGCCAAGAAAACCCCAAATGGGGTCACAAGAGTTGGACACAACTGAAATGACTGAACAGGGATAGGAATGGGCCCTCGAGTCCAGGACAGATCCAAGGAACTGGGAATGTTTGTTATGGAGAAGAGAAGGGCTCAGGGCACTTATGGGAACAGATGAAGTCTGACCATTCCTGGAAGGTATACTTCTCTTAATGCTCCAATGAATGTCAAATAGTAGAGACTGCTTTGGCCCCAGTGAGCTGGTGGGAAAGGTATACTGAGGGGACGAAAATCCCTGAAATGGCCCTCATTGGGTTGCTGCCTATGCTGTCGTGTGGTCAGGCTTTCCTTGGTCCCCCTACAATGCTTCTGTATCTAACAGTCTGGCTCCCTAAGGAGCTCCAGGGCATCGCAAAACCTGCTGCTACCTGACTTCTTCTCCAGCCTGGGATGCTCCTTAGATTTGTCCTCTTGAGGAAGTCATTGGGTTTCTCTGACCCTCAGTTTTTTCCTTTGTAAAATGGGTATATAACTCTTGCATTTACCTTCCTCACAGAGCTCTTAGGATGACAGGGCTTTGAGAGCAAGGAGTAATCATCATCGGAAAAGGAAGTAGAAGGAGCCAGAGATAGAGAGAGAGATGGCAGGAGGAGCCAGAGACCTGGACAGAGACAGAGACAGGGACAGAGAGAGAGAGAGAGAGATGGCAGGAGGAGCCAGAGACCTGGACAGAGACAGAGACAGGGACAGAGAGAGAGAGAGAGAGAGAGAGAGAAGAGAGAGAGAGAGAGAGAGAGAGAGAGAAACAGAGAGATGAGACGAAGAGACAGAGACAGAAACAGAGGGAGTGCCACAGACTGATATCTGCCAAATATGCAAGGATTTTTAGGGAGGCCTTTTATGTACTGGATTTATAGGAGGAACTTGGCTAGAAAGGCCCAGGATGGGAAGTCCTGGGTGGGCTGAGATCTGTACCTGTGGCAGGCATGCACCCATCAATGAAATCACCCTGACCCTGGAGTCAAGAGAGATCTAGGTTCCAATCCTACCTCTGACAGTGATGAACAGTGTGACCCTGGGAGAGTGCCTTCCTCAGTTTCCTCATCTGCCAGGTGAGGATACCAACACCAGTCCTACTGCCCACACCAGGCTGTCACTCAGATTCAATGAAAGAATGAGCAGGAAGAGCTTTTTAGACTTTGAAGGGCCACCCCTTGTTATTATGGAAGTATTATTAATATCATTATTATTACCTTCATTATTCAATTAGATTCAATTCATTAAGTGTTTCTTGAGCACCTACTGTGTGCCAGGCACAGTGCTGACAGCCGAGGACACAAAGCTGTCCCAGAGCTTGCATTTTTTTTGGGGGGGGGAGGGATGGTCACAACAAGCATCCAGATGTACATAGTCATGGGGATGAGGAGAGTGCTGCCCACTGAGGAGGGGGGGGTGAAGAAAGGTCTTGAGTCCCAGGTGGCCCCCGAACCAACTCTGGAAGGAGCCTGAGGATTCTAGGAGGTGGAGGGGAGCAGGAGAGCATCTCGGGTCAGCAGGGTGGGGGATGGGAGGCATGGCCTGCCCCAAGACTTGAAGGGACTGACCTGGGGTGAGAGGTGCTGTGTCCTCAGGAAGAAGCCCAGGAGGCAGCCTATGATGACAGAGAGCACAGACAGGATGAGCAGCCCATTCCTCCGGCACACATCCTTCACCCGAGCCAGCAGAGCATCCAAAGCCAGAGCCATGGCGCCCTCTGCCCTGGAGGCAGGGTCCTGGCGTGGGGTCAGCCTCCCATGGAGCCTCCCTCTTGCTCCGGGCTCCCCAGGCCGTCTGGGGTCTGGGAAGAATAGCTCCAAGCTCCCAGCCCCGGCTGCTTAGCCTGTGAGGTCACCCTTCCCCCCTACAGCCAGGCCCCCAGGCTCCCTCCCGCAGTATTACTGCTCCAAATGAATGCCCACAATCCTATTATCAACTACATCATTAAGAGCCTGGGAGCAGCTTAGGGAGCCCTGGGAAATTAGAGTAAAGACCGGAAGGGTGTCAGTGGCATTGGCCAGGAGGGATGGGGGCAGGGGGTTGGAGCTGAAGACCCCCAGCTTCTTTCTGGCTCTCAGATTCTAGGAATCCATGATGCAAAAGCAAAGAATTCCCTCTTAAAAAGAAGTAAAAGGGGTTTGAGGATGGTGCCAATTTCAATAGGACTCTTGTATGCCAAGAGGCAACCCACCTGGGTCAGATTCCATTTCTACTGGGTGTCTCTAGCCAAATCATTTCCTTTCAGTGGTCCTGGGTTCTCAGCTTTACAAAAGGAGGGAAGCAGGCTAAATGGTTACTAAGCATCCTTCTGGTTCTAACATTCCATGATTCTGTGATCAGAGAATCCTAGTACTAATAATTATGATAATAGTAATAAGAGTCAATGTGGCTAGCCCCCCAAGTGCTTCACTGGGATATAGAGGAAATCCTCCTCCATAAAGGCAGGGCCAGCAGAGACTGAGCTATAGGGGGTCCTACCAAGCTGGAACCAGGGACAGCCTGGGTGTCGAGAGAGCTTTGAGAGAGCTTCAAAGCCAAGACGCTCCAAGCTCAGGCTAGAGTCAAGAGTCGGGCTAACATCCATAGCATTACAACAGTCTGCTAATGAATGAATTCAGTCTTTTTGCTATAATTCTCATCTCAGAGATAATTGTTTGTTTGTTTAACTAAAAGCCTTTTGGTTGGAACAGAGGGCAATGTTACATAAGTCTGACTTCCCAGTGGGAAGTGCAGATTTCAGAAAATCAGACATTCTTGGGAAGTGAGAACAACCTTCATTTACTAAGGGCCTATAATCAAAGAATATTTTTTAAACCAATGGGCAAGCCCTCTTTTTTTTTTCATGTAGAAAGAAATTTGTTGTTGTTCAGTCCTGTCCAACTCTTCGTGACTCTGTTTGGGGTTTTCTTGGCAAAGATACTGGAGGGACTTGCCATTTCCTTCTTCAGCTCATTTTACAGATCGGGAAACTGAGGCAAACAGGGTTAAGTGACTAGCCCAGGGTCACACAGCTAGTAAGTGGCTGAGGCTGGATTTGAATTGAGGTCTTCTGGACTCCAGGTCAGGTCCTCCACCTAACTATGGCACCACCTAGCACCCATAAAAAGAAATACATGTTCTTAATAAATTTTGGCGCAGTGGAACGAGTGAGTGTTAGATTTGGAGTCAGAGGGTGCAATTCAAATCCTGGTTCTGCCTCCCACGACGGCTGTGATTTTGAGAGCATTGGCTCATTCTCTCAGTTTCCCACTTTCTAAAATGAGGATGGAGGGATTGGAGTCAATGACCTCTCAGGACTCTTCTAACTCTATGACTCCCAGGATGTCACTGGAATGTTCCTGCTTGAATCTCCTTCCCTACCGTCCACAGGCTCAGAAGTGTGGTGCCTCATTCTTCCAATGAACCTCAATACATTTCTTGTGTAGCGTCATCTGACTTCATCCAATGGCTCAAAGTCATTCCCCTCCCCTCAGATGACTAAAGACATATTCATACCAAGGGCTTGTGCCTTTGATTGACTGATTCAAAGAGGATTCTCACTCCCTAAAGGTCTAGAGCGACTCAATTCAATTCAATTCAATAAACATTTATTATCTACTATATACCAGGCACTGGAGACACACATTTTTTTTTAAAAAAAGACAGTATCTGCCCTCAAGGAGCTTACAATCTAATGGGGAGACAACCAAAAAACCCCCAGCATACAAAGTAGCTACAATGATGTAAATGAAAATAACGCAATAGAGCAGAACTCAACAGATTGTCTTTGCTCAGCTGGACTGATGACTGGCAGTTACTGAAATGAACTAGATTTTTGCCTTCCCTGCTGCTTGAGGTCTTGGAGAGGGGACTCATAGAAAGCTGAACCCCAATTTGAACCAGAGTCTGCTCTAAGAAAGAGACAAAAGAAATTGGGGTACATGTGTCCACGGTTTAATTTCTCTCAAGCTGGCTTGACATGCACTGCGTTGGAGTTCAGTCCACAACTGGGCCCCCCTAAGGGGGCCAATTCAGAACTGGCTCAGTTTGGGATTCGGGAGTACAGCCTTATATGCCTTTTGAAGAGTAAGTGTTCCCAAGGGGTGCCAATCAATCATGATTGGCTGACACACTAGGAGGTGGGTCATATTAAAATGAGGTCTTGAGTATGCGCTTTAATCACTTAGTCCACAGGGGTCAATATCTCTTGCCATCAGAGGAAATACCAACCCCAGTCTAGGGACTCTGTCTCCACCCAAACCTGAATAGGATAAAATCAATTCAGGCCTGGGCTGGTGTTTGACCAAGATAAGAAGATTCAATGCAATCTCATTATCAGAAATGTCCCGAACAACTTTGGAAAGAAGGCTGGCAGGGTAAAACTGTGAGTCTCCAAGACACAGATTACCAAGAGAAACCATTTTTCACAATGGTGCATGTAGCTTCTTTGAAATTAATGTGCATATGTGTCTTTCATTAAACGTTCTTCCAAAACAATGATCTTAGCAAAGGGGATTCAATAAAGGTAGAGCTTAATGGATAAAATGAGTGAAGCTAGCAGAATGGGGAACTGGGCCAAGAAATCCCACAGACACACACACACTCTCTCTCTCTCTCTCTTCTCTCTCTCTCTCTCTCTCTCTCTCTCTCTCTCTCTCTCTCTCTCTCTCCTTAGACACAGACCTGAGAAACAGAAACCACCCACTCGGGGGCAGAGCTAAGGGGTAATAGACAACTGTCTCTCTTGAGAAATTAACAGGAAAGAGGCAGCTTGACTAATTATCCAAGCATCCTCTGGTGTTGGGGAGGTGGTGGTGATGCTAATCTTTTTTATTATGTTGCGACATCCTTGATGTCTGTTTCCAAGAAAAAGGTGGAATAGACTTTGAAATCCTGGGTCTGGTTTCCAAATTCTAGGAATTAAAGTATAGCACCTAGCCTGGCAGATGGCACCCGATTCATGTAAAGGAAGCTATATGATCACTATAACATAAGCTTGGCACCAAAGAAGAAGTGAAAAAATTCACCTCCCCTCATTCTTTGCAGAGGTGGGGGGCTATGGGTGTGGAACATTGCATATACTCTTAGACTCAACTGATGTGTTAGTTTTTCTGAATTGCCTTCAACTGCCCCCTCCCCTTTATTTTTGATTCTTTGTTGCAAAGGATGGCTCACTGAGTAAGGGAAGAGGGGAGGAAAAATATACACAAAAATAAAGATGATATAAAAACATAATGGAGTTGACTGTGATGGACCTTTACAGGCAGGGAGAAGCGTGTAGAGTGCAGTGGATTCCAAAAGATGCATTTTCTAGCTCTGAGCCTCAGTTTCCTCAAATAGACTTGATAATCTCTGCTCTATCAATTCCCTCCAGATTTTGATGCTCCAAAAATAACTTTGCGGATGTTGTATTTATTTTGAATTTACTCATGTGCGCCCATATTGTCATCCAGCCTCCCCACCCTCACCCCAGGTAGACTATAAGCTCTCTGAGGTTATGGACTGTTTCACTTATGTCTTTGTGTCCTCAGTGCCTACAATGGTGACTCATGGTTTTTAAAATGCCTGTAGAATTAAATTAAAATTAAATTAAGCAAGGGGCAGCTAGGTGGCATTGTGGATAGAGTACCAGCCCCTGGAGTCAGGAGAACCTGAGTTCAACTCCAGCCTCAGACATTTACTAGCTGTGAGACCCAGGACAAGTCACTTAACCCTGATTGCCTCCCCACCAAAATTAAATTCAGCGGTCATACGTAGTAGAACTATACAAAGGGACCTATGAGGAAAAGAGCTTGGATGCCCTGCTGCGTGGTTTTTAAGTTGGGTTTTATAACAAAAAATTGTCTTTTATGAAAATTGAGAGTGACCTGGGTGAAATGTTTCTGGGTTTTGGGTGATGGGAAAATGTGAAGGTGTATTTTATTATCTTTTTATTTCTCCCTCCACTAGCAGTGCAGGCACTTTCGGTAAAGAAGGGGGTTGGGGACCTAGCTAGTTCTGAGATTACATAGGAGCACAGGCATAATATCCCCAGAGAACTCTTTGAATGTAAGAGACTTCCTGATAGACTAAGAAAATTTGGGATTATAGAACAGGAGGATGAATTCAATTCAGATTTTCCAAGTGAGTGAATTCCAGGTCATTGTGTAAGTGAAAACGCCGGGCTCAGTCTAAGCCAGGACTACTCCGTGGAGGTCAGCGTTCTTTGACTCCAGACTGCAAGGGTCCAGGGACCTTCCAGGGACACGTACCCTCTTGAGAAAATAGGGAAGGGCTTTGTAGTTCTGAAGGTAAAAGGGATCGCCCTCTCTCATCCCCAATTTCTCACTACTCTGTGACCTCTCCCTGTCCACGGGCGGCTTCTCTCGCCCTTTATGAACATGCACACGTTTCCCTCATCCTCACAAACTCCTCACTTGATGTCGCCGTGCCCTCTGACTATTGTTCTACAGCCCTCTTCCCTTTCATGACTGAGCTCCTGGAGAAGACTAGCTATGAATGGTGCCCCCACTTTCTTTCCTCAAACTCTCTTCTTAGCTCTTTTCAGTCTGGCTTCGCTAGTTATTTAACTAAAATGGCTCTCCAGATTTACAGATGATATCTTAATGACCACATTCCTCTTCTCAATCCTCATGAGTCTTGACTTCTCTTCACCCTTTTGTCAATCCCTCTTGAAGGGGAGGGAGGGATGTTTAGCCCACGCCTGTGAAGACTTCCCCCAGGGATGGGC